CCAGAGACCTGTGTGCAGTTTGCGTGCTCTCCCTGTGTCTGTGTGGGTTTCCTCTCACAGTCCAAAGGTGTGCAGGTTAGGTGCATTTCCCACGGCCAATGCAGGGTTCCTGGGATAGGGAGGTGGGGTGGGCCTGTGTGGGAATCTCTTTGAAGGGTCAGTATGGACTCAATGGGCCAAATGTCCTGCTCCTACACTGGGGATTCTATGACTTGCTGATGTGGACGATATATATTTTTGTGTTGCAGACAAGACTAATTAAACCGTGAATGTGTCCATCTGCGTGCAGTTCATTTGCCAGGTCCCCTCTAAAGAGCAGCCACATCGACTGAGTTCTGTGGCTCCTCTGCCTACCTCTTGCAAGCAGTTGTGTGTCTGGAATTTTGTAGAGAGGAAGTGAGTTTTTCCAAGGGGCATAATTTCCTGAGGCTGTGGTGGACTGAAATTATGGGAATTAGTGTTTGGGCACAAGGAGTAAAGACTTTTTATATCTGTTTCCAGCTGGAATTTTTTTTTTCTTGCTTGTTGAAAGAGGAGATTGACATAATGGCCCATTTAGACGGGACCCTGTTTGGTTGTGAGGTGACTGCATATTCACGTCGTCTCCCTTTACCATCCCGCAGGCTGGCTTTAACGAACAGAAATAGGCCGTTCAGCCTTAAATACTGTAGTACACAGGAGCAGAAGTCGGCCATTGAGTCTGCTCTGCCATTCAATGCAATTGTGGCTGATCTGATTATTCCTGAACTCTACTTCCTTGCCTTTTCCCTATAACTCTTGAGCAAATTCCTCCTCGTCTCTTTTTAAATAGATGACTCTTTTACTTTGAGATTAAACCCTCTAGTTCTAGACAAACCCACAAGGAGAAACCAACCACCTTTAATGCATCTACCCTGTGGAGTCCTGTAAGAACGTTGTCTGTTTCAATAAGGGTTGATAGCTGGGAGGAGAACTCTTAACCCCGTGTTCAAATTGCTAGAAGTTAACACTGGAGATCCTTGACACAATGTCTAGTAATGGCACGATTACCTGTTGAATCATTGAAGCACCCTGATTTTATTTGATTAGTTGATTTGTGGCAGTGTGATTGGGAAGGTTAGCTGTTACTTTAGGTGTGGCACCCTGTATTGGAGATGGAAGAGTCTGCCCCTTCTGGTTGGAACTGGGAGTGTGGATGGTGAAGGTCTAATGCGATGTGCCCTTTTTCTGTGTGTGTTTTGTTTTATATATAGAATCCCCACAGTGTGGAAACAGGCCATTCGGCCCATTGAGACCACATCGACCCTCTGAAGAGCATCCCACCCAGACCTGTAACCTTCCATTTCACATGGCTAACATACACATCCCTGAATGCTATGGGGCAATTTTAGCATGGCCAATCCACTTAACTTGGACTTATCTTTGGACTGTGGGAGGAAACTAAGCACCCAGAAGAAACACACACAGACACGGGAGAACGTGCAAACTCCACACAGAGTGGAGTGAATTGAACCTGGGTCCCTGGCACTGTGAGGCAGCAGTACTAGCCACTGTGCCACCCCTAGTTGTGGTCTAACTAGTGCCTTTGATAGTTCCTTCACCATTGATGACATCCCCTGGTCAGGCCTTCCGGAAATGGCTGCAAACTGGCTTCGACTTGAGACAGACGCGCATTTCCGTAGTGCCTTCCGTGACCTCTGAATGTTCCAAAGCAGTTGTTGCCAAAAAGGCAGTTTGGGTTACAGGCTGACATGGTTTATCTTGTCGCCATTGTCCTCGTGCCTTTCCATTATGAAACTTGGCCTCGGATTATGGTGACTGTTAACCTGCCACGGCAAAAACCTATCTCCAGCGAACTCCAGACCTCGTTGGCAGACAGTTGGAGTTTCTGACAGCTGACCCTGTTCTCGCCTGCGCCTTCCCACAGAGTCAGTAGGGCTCTTGTGGTGCTCATGTCCCTACCTCTGGGCCAGGAGTCCCCAGTCCAAGTCCCACCTGCTCTGCAGAGGTATCCTACATCTCTCTGAACAGGTTGGTTCAGAAAATATCTCCCTGCACGGTCAAAATGGCTGAGATTGAAGAGTCTGTTGATGAATGAAAGAAAAGCTTGCATTTAAATAGCATCTTTTTAAAATCACCCAAGCACTCTGGAGCCAGTGATGTGCTTTGATGGACAGTCAATGATTATTGACAAATTTGTGCGTAGCCAGCTCCCATCAACAGCACTGTGATGCCACTGCAGATAGTATGACATGCTGGTTAGGCATTACATCCTAGTCCCTGTGTTATAGAGTCAGAATCATACAGCGTAGGAAAAGACCCTTCAGCCCAACCCGTCCATGCCGACCAGGTTTTCCAAACTAAACTAGTCCCACTTGCCTGCATTTGGCCCATACCCTTCTAAACCTCTCCTAATTATGTACCTCTTCAAATGTCGTTCAAATCTTGTAACTGGTACCTATATCTACCACTTTGTCTGGCAGTTCATTCCACATATCAACCACCCTCTGTGTGAAAATGTTGCCCCTCATGTCCCTTTTAAATAAATTTTCTGCACCTTTTTAAATAAAAAATGCTGTCCAGTTTTGAACTCCCCTACCCTAGAGAAAAGACCACTGCAATTCACCTTTCAAATCACCTTTGTATGCTCCTTGTGATTTTATAAACCTCTAAGGTCACTCCCTCAACCTCCTACGCTCCAGTGTAAAAAGTCCCAGCCTATCCAGCCTCTCCTTATAACTCAAACCCTCCAGCCCTGGCAACCTCTTTGTAAGTCTTTTCTGAACTCCCTCCAATTTAATAATATCCTTCGTATGGCAGGGCGACCGCAACTGTTCACAGAACTCTAGAAAAGGCATCACCAACATCCTGTTTACCCTCAACATAACGTCCCAAATCCTATACTCAGTGGTCTGAGCAATGAAGGCAAGTGTGCTCCATGTCTTCTTAACCACCCTGTCTATATGTGATGCACCTTTTAAAGAACTATGTAGTAAACCCCAGGTCTCTTGGTTTGATAACACTCTACCAGTAACTATATAAGTCCTGCCTTTGTTCATTTTTACCAAAATGCAATACTTTGTGTTAGAAGTTCTGCAATGGGCCGCCTTATGTTTTTGTGCTGACTTGAGGGAGCTGATAGTACTCCTCTGACAGTGCAGCACACCCTCAATGTCAGCCCAAATAGTATGCACGAGCCCCTGGACTGCGACTCGAATTCACCTTAACCTGAGTCTGAGGTGACTCACTGAGCTGCACACTGCTGATGTGAGTGATTTTTTTTAAAATTGTGGTCATTTTAATTTTCTCTGTCATGTATCATGTAGCCTTACACATGATGACCTCACCCAGAACCTGTGTCTAATCGAGAAGCAGGTTAGTTCATAGGCGCCAAGGAAGTTACCTCAACAGGGCAATCCCATGCTGTCAAATCTCTGGCAGTAACTGTGGAGAGAGGCACTTCAAACATTATTTTTTCCCCTTTCTTATTCTTTCATGGGATGCGGATATCGCTGGCAAGGTGCCCATCCCTACTTAGTGACGTGCCAGACCAATTCAGAGTGCAGTTAAGAATCCACCACATAGCTGTAGGTCTGGAGTCACCCAGCTTTCATTAATGAGATTTTATGAAAATCAGTGAGTCGCGAATGAGACCAGCTTCCAGATTTATTAATTGAATTTAACTTTTACCAACTACCTTGGGGAGATTTGAACCTGTGTCAACCAAAGCATTAGCCTGGGCCTCTGGGTTACCATCTCTTCCCTCGTAGCACTGACACTACAGGAAGTGTACAATGCTCTTCTGTCTCCCTTTCTCCTAGCCAATTCACTGATCCTGTTTTGAGAGTGGTGATCAGAAAGAGCAGGCTTGTTGTTTCCTCATTACAGAATGAGGACATTACTGTCCACCCCTAATTGCCCAGAGGGCAGTTAAGAGTCAACCACATAGCTGTGGGTCTGGAGTCACATGTAGGCCAGACCAGGTAAAGATGGCAGTTTCCCTCCCTAAAGAACATTTGTGCACCAGATGGCTTTTTCCCAATAATTGACGTTTGTTTCATGGCCATCATTAGACTCTTCATTCTAGATTTTTTTTTTGATTTAGTTCAAATTCCACCATCTGCCACAGTGGAATTCAAACTTGGTCCCCCAGAACATTACCTGGGTCTCTGAATTAACAGTCCAGCGATTAATACCACTAAAGCCATCACCTCTCTTTTTATATAGTGCCTTTCACAACCTCTCTGTGCGCTGTATGGCCCATTTTAATGTAGAACCCAAGCCATTATTTTAAGGAAGAGCTGGGGAATTCTCCCTGGCATCCAGTCCAAACGTTTTCTCTCAACCAACATCGTTTTTTCTTGTAAAAATATAAGTGACAATAAGTTACTCTATTAGCTGGTTGTTAACCTCCTGCTGTTGGGTATGGGTGGCAATAGGCTTTGACTGTTCCCAACGTCACAACAGGGACCGTGCACCATGTTTTATCTGCCAGCTGTGGAACTCTTTGGGACGTTCCTGAAACCAATAGGAATGGGAATGTGTTTTCTCTGTCTTTGCAGAATTATCCCGTGCATTACTGGAGAATCGCTCTTTCTTTTCAGGCGACAGTCTTATCTCTGGAATGTTGTTGTCACTGTTTGCTAGAGGAGTCAGGGTGACCCTTGATTGCACTATGGCCTTGCAGTTTAGTTCCTCACTTTATCGTTTCATTGTTGGCATCTGTCCATCTGTGTTTTGCATTGTCTCGTGCTCGCTCTCTCTCTCCTATTATTATTATTTTTCTTTATTATTTATTTCTTTATTATTATTTTATTATATTATTATTGTATTGTATTAAATAATATAATATTGTGTTATAATTTTAATATTTTGTTATGGTTCCTCACTCATTTACCCCTGCGTGTACTCGCACTTTCGATCACGCTGGCCTCAGCTGTGTGACTGTACCCACCTTCTTGCTGCCCTGCTCACCCCACCCCCACTCCCCCGCTCCCCCATTTCTCTCCCTGTCCATGCAGATGAGCAGTAGGCCGAGCAACACCTCCGGGAGCGTCAGCATGGTTTCCGCGGCGATGCCAGCTCCGGAGCCCGCCACCAGCAGCACCACGGCGGACCCCAGCGTATCGTGGCTTCCCGACTCTCCGACGGTGCTGGAGGAGCCGATATTCCTCATGACCACAGCGGCACAGGGCATCTCGGGATTCTTTGTATGGACAGCTCTCCTCCTAACGTGCCACCAGGTAAGGCTGGCCACTTTGCCGTAGTTTTGTTTGTCTCCGCCGAACCGCCTGGCGCCATCCATTAGAATGTTCTGGTTAACGCCACTTTGTGTCAAGCCAAAGGATGACTTTGGATCCATTTTATCCCCCCCCCATGCCTGCTTCAGAAGGCTTAATGCTTTGCAATGCCTTACTTGTCAAGAGTAGACCTGTAGGACTGAGAAACAGCCAATTTGCATGCAGGAAGGTTCTTCATCTAACGATCAAGCTAATAGTTTCAGCAAAGTTCCACAAAGCCAAACCAGACTAATGCTTTATCAGAAATATTCTTTTCTCTTAAAACACATTGTATTTTGTTAGTGTCTGTATTGTGATACGTTAGCCCCAATTTTAATTCCCTGGCAGGAGTTGTGCTGGCTGTACAGGACATTGGTGAGGCCACTTTTGGAATACTGTGTTCAGTTCTGATCTCCCTGCTATAGGAAGGATGTTGTGAAACATGAAAGCTTTCAGAAAAGATTTACAAGGATGTTGCCAGGGCTGGCGGATTTGAGCTACAAGGGAGAGGATGAATAGACTGGGGCTATTTTCCCTGGAGTGTTGGAGGCTGAGGGGTGACCTTTATAGAGGTTTATAAAGTCATGAGGGGCATGGATAGAGTGAATAGCCAAGGTCTTTTCCCCAGAGTGGGGGAGTCCAAAACTAGAGGGCATAGCTTGAGAGTGGTATGATTTTAAAGGGACCTAAGGGGCAACTTTTTCATGCAGAGGGTGGTGCGTGTGTGGAATGAGCTGCCAGAGGAAGTGGTGGAGGCTGGTACAATTACAACATTTAAAAGGCATCTGGATGGGATATGAATAGGAAGGGTTTAGAGGGATAGGGGCCAAATACTGGCAAATGGTACTGTATTAGCTTAAGATATTTGGTTGGTATGGATGAGTTGGATGGAAAGGTGTGCTTCCATGCTGTGGAGCTGTATGACCATATGACTCTATAACCAATTGGCACTCAGTAAGGTCCCTTGTTTAATGATGAGCTATCTCATCAATTTGCACACAGGAGGTGGCCCTGCTATAGGAAGGGTATTATTAAGCTGAAGACAGTTCAGAAGAGGTTTACCAGGATGTTGCCAGGAATGGAAGGTTTGAGTTATAAAGAAAGTCTGGAATTTTTTTCACAGGAGCATAGGAGGTTGAGAGGTGACCTTTTATAGAGGTTTATAAAATCATGAGCGGTATAGATAGAGTTAATGGTAGATGCCTTTTCCCTAGGATAGGGAGATTTCAAGACTAGAGGGCATATTAAGGTGTGGCTCAGTGGTTAGCACTGCTGCCTCTCAGTGCCAGGGACCCGGGTTCAATTTCCATGGGAAATGCAGGGTCACAGGGTCTTGGTGGGATGCTCTTCAGAGGGTCATTGTGGACTTGATGGGCCAAATGCTGTGTTTCCACACTGTAGGGATTCTGTGAATCTAATTCCCAAAAAGTGAGGAAATAACCCTCTGATTGAATGGGGGTAATGTTTGTGTTCCAGTCCAGGCCACATGTAGTGAGCACATTCTGATAACAGAAATAGAAAAGCTTTTGGCCCATTTTTAAAATAAAACGAAAGAACTGTGGATGCTGAGAAAAACAGAAATTGCTGGAAGAGTTCAGCAGGTCTAGCAGCATCTGTGAGGAGAAAGTAGAGTTAACGTTTCGGGTGCAGTGACCCTTCTTCAGGACTGTACTTCTGAAACCCGTTCTCTGGACCTGAAACATTAACTCTGCTTTTCTACACAGATGCTGCCAGACCTGCTGAACTCTTCCAGCAATTTCTGTTTCTTTTTTCAGCCCATTTAATTCTTTTAGGCATGTGAGGATATAGTGTTTAGGGGGTGAGAGGAGAATCCTAGAGGTTATAAATAATAGAATGAACTTATTCTTCCACATGTTTTGATTCTGTGCGATACATACCACGTAATCCTTTGTAATGATCATTTCCCCTGTTTAACACCGGCTCTATTTTGGCCTCTCCTTGGGGCCTTGCAGACTCGTTGGAAAGTTCCTCTGTGCCCTCTTTCCCGTTTGAAGTGTGACAATACAAACAGCTGTGTGGGACTTTGGAACTGTCATGTCCTGTTGTTTCCTACGGAACGCTCATAGCCGGTTTCCCCTCCTAGTAGTCTTAAATCAGAGCAAACCGCTTGAGAAATATTAGATCAGTCAGAGGCTGAGCGCTGACCTTTTATAGAGGTTTATAAAATTGTGAGGGGCGTGGATAGGGTCAATAGCCGAGGTCTTTTCCCCCAGGGTAGGGGACACCTAAACTAGAGGCCCATAGGTTTAAGGTGAGAGGGAAAAGATATAAAAAGGACCTAAAGGGGCAACTTTTTCCACACAGGGTGGTGCGTGTGTGGAATGAGCTGCCAGAGGAAGTGGTGGAGGCTGGTACAAATACAACATTTAAAAGGCATCCGGATGGGTACATGAACAGGAACGGTTTAGAGGGAAAAGGGCCAAATGCTGGCAAATGAGACTAGATTAATTTAGGATATCTGGTCAGCACAGATGAGTTGGACCGAAGGGTCTGATTCTGTGCTGTACAGCTCTATGATTCTGAGATGATATGAAAACCTAAAGCCAGTTTGTTGAGGGTGGCCAGTCAGGTGCCTGACTCATGAGGGAAAGTCAACGTGGTACAAAATGTCTCCAAACAAAATGACTGTGGAAGCCACATGGGTAGATCGTTGACTTGTATAATGCTGACAGTATTTTTTTTCTCTCGTCTCTGTGCATGCTCTCCACTCTGTTATTGTTCACTCTTGCCCTTGCTAATTTTTAATCTGTTTGGTATGCCCTCTTTGTGCTTTCCCATTTCTCTGCTCACATTTTTTTTCTTTATAAACTTGCCCTTATCCTCTGTTTAAAAAGGGGATGGTGCAGGACTGAACAGGAAAACTGCCATCTCTGGGAGATTCTTGTTTTCTTTCAGCTTGACCTTCTCTCTTCTTGTTCCGTTGGGCTTTTTTTTTGATTCAAACTGCAGCTTCCAAGCTGAAGGGCAAGTCCTCACTTGCTGCCTGTGTGTTACCGCGTGCTTGAATTCTCCATCAGAGTAAGGTCCAGTGAGCAGCTTCATTCACTGTCATGTTGATGAGTCTGTGCTTGTTCCCCTGACCAGTACTGTGAACGAATACCTTTGGACAGCTCTACTAAGTGGATTATCTCAAACAGGTCCAAGCTCCCCTCTCTCTCTCTTTATTTCTTCTCTCAAATAAATGCGGACACGGGGAATCTGAAGTACAAAGTGCTGGGGCGGCACAGTGGCTCGGTGGTTAGCACTGCTGCCTCATAGCGCCATGGACCCGGGTTCGATCCCACCCTTGGGTGCGTCTGTGTGGAGTTTGCATGTTCTCCCTGTGTCTGTGTGGGTTTCCTCCCACGGTCTGAATTGTGGATTGGCCATGCTAAATTGCCCATGTTGTCCAGGGGTGTGTAGGTTAGCTGGGTTAGCCATTGTAGCGATTCTGTGACAAGGTTGGCAGGTGTGTGGGAACACCCCCCACCTGCACGTTCCCCTCCAAGCCCGACGCCATCCTGACTTGGAAATATATCACTGTTTCTTCACTAACGCTGCATCCCGATTCTGGAACTCCTTCCCAATGGTACCTAGAACGTGAGGGTTGTAGTGGTTTGAGGGGGCAGCTCAGCACCATTTTCCCCACAGCAATTCGGGATGGTCAGTTAGCAATGTCCCCATTCCCTGAATGAAGAGGAAAACCATCTGCCAACTCAGATGGCATTTGAGAGTTAACCACTGTGTAGTTCTGGAGTCACCTGCAGGCCAGGACAGCTCATTTCCTTGTTGGATGTCAGTGAGCAGATAGGTTTGTGTAACAGCTGATAATAGTTTCACGGTCATTATAATCCTTGACTTTTTATTAATCAAATCAATATAAATTGCAGTGAGGAGGTTTGAACCGGTGTCTCTGGGGTATCAGCCTGCGCCTATAGAATGCCAAGCCAGCACTGTTACTGTTATCCCACGCTTGGGATCCTGTTGTCTTTTCCTGCCACTACCACTTTCTTCAGAGGTGACTCTATCCTGCACGTAGGACCTTGACCTTGGCATTTGTCAGTTGGAGAGTAAAGAGAAGTTAAACCCTTTGTTTAAAACCTTGTTTTAAAAAAAAGTCTTGAGGTGTGACCACTTACTGGGGAGATTTATTTCTGCAGTCTCTTGTGAGTTCCACCAGCAAAAGGAACTGTGATATTTGGCCTTCCAGTGGAAGGGCCTAGTAATCTGTCCAAGCCTATTCTTTTATTTTCTCCAGGAGGAGCAGAATCAGGGGTGGTCTTCACTTTATTTGGCACCTGGAGGCCTATTGAGTTAAGGTCTTGGACAGAGGGGCTGCTCCCATCACAGGAGGCACAGTGGCTCAGTGGTTAGCACTACTGCTAGGGACACGGGTCCAATTCCACCCTCGGGTGGTTGTCTGTCTGTGTGGAGTTTGCACATTCTCCCTGTGTCTACGTGGGTTTCCTCCAGGTGGCCTGGTTTCTTCTGATGTGCAGGTTAGGGGGATTGGGGCAATTTAAGCATAGCCATAGTGTCCAGGGATATGCAGGCTAGGTGGATTAGCCGTAGGAAGCGCAAGGTTACAGGGATAGATAGGGGATGGTGGGATGTTCTTTGGAGGGTCGGTGTGGACTCAATGGGGTGAATGACCTGCTTCCAAACTGTAGGTAATTCTGTGATTCACTCTGCCATCTAGCTCCCAACCGCCATAAAACTCCCTCACTCGCACATGACTGTGAAACCTCTTGTCCTCATGTTCAATTTCCTTCATGGGCCCTCAGTCTTCCCTTTCTTTGTTATCTCCCCCAACCGTGCTATAATCACACTCCTCTGGTTCTGCGGGACATTCTGACTTTCTGCACAATTGACGGCCATGCCTTCAGTTGCCTGGGCCCTGAGCTCTGAAATTCCTTCCCCAAACCCATCTCCATCCCACCGCCCTTCTTTTTTAAGACCTATTT